CCGAAGAGTCCCCCGCTTTCCGTACCCAGCTCCTGAAGGCCGCCAAGGCGATCTTTGCTACGCACGAGTCCGCGGAGGCCCTCAGGAATGCTGCCCCGATGGCCTTGCTCATTATCGACGAGGCAGGGCAAGCTCGCGAACTTATGGCCGCCATGTCTCTCGACAGCGCCATCCGCTCAGGCGGGCACCTGGTGCTGGTCGGAGACCCGAAGCAGCTTCCCCCCACCATCCTCTCCAGGCTGCCGACCTCGGGCTCTGCTTCTCCATCTTTGATCGGCTTCGCAACGCCCTGGAGGGCGAAACAACAGCCGCGGTACAGCTTAGCCTTTGCTACCGCGTGCACCCCCTGCTTCTGGCGTGGCCGAACGTCGCCTTCTACAACAACACAATGCGCTTCGGACTCACTGACCCCTTCACCCAGAGGCCCCTTATCAAGGGACTCCCATGGCAGAAGCTGCGGCCCTGGGACAGCGACAGGCTTGAAGCTCTAGCCAAGGCCGCGGCCACCCCCAAGGACGACATGGAGAAGATGCTGCGTGATCTCATGCCAGGTAGCCATCGCGAGGAGGAGCGGCACATATTCCTTCTTGTCGGCAACCCCTCTCTGGAGGTCACCTCAAGGCTCCACGCAGGGTGCGCCAACTTGCCAGAAGCTGCGCAGGCTGTGGACATAGTGCGCGCCCTCCTGCCTGCCATGAGCGAAGGCGTCTCAGTGCGCGTCGTGGTGGGTTACCAGTTGCAGTGCGCAGTCCTGGAGAAGGGATGGCCCCAATCGGGGAGCAGCATCAGTGGCGCCCTCAGGCAGGCCAAGACTAAGGGCAAGGGGAAGGGCAAGGAAAAGTCAGCCCAAGGTGGCGGGCCCCCCCTCGCACCCCTCCGCGTGCGCCACCGACGCCGGGGCCCACGCTAGCGTTTTCGTACAATACGACACTCCTCTCACTGGCATCTCCCCGCGCTTCCCCGGACTACGGCAACTCGCCGAAGAGCACCTGGGAAGCGGCAAGCTCACCATCTCCGCAGTCGACTCCAGTCAAGGTGGCGAGGCCGACTTGGTCATATACCTGGCCACCCGTTCCAACAAGTGGCACGACTGGGGTTTCATGGACAACCCCAGCGGGGTGAACGTCGCGATCGCGCGTGCCACCACCAACGCAGTCATCACTGGTGACGGAAGGATGTTCGGCACAGCCACAGGGGCCCGTCTACGGGAGCTTTCTGTGTTTGGAAGATTCGCCAAGCTATGGGTCCGCTTCAAAGGAGATGACTTGGGCGCAAGATGGACGCTCGAGACCGACGACGAGTTCGACCCCATCAAGGGCCTCGCGTCGTGGATCCCTGCGCCCCCCTCCCACACCGGGGATGACGTCCTAAAAGGGCTTGATGACGCCATCAAGAAGGCCAAGGCCTCCATCGAGAACAACTTCGCCGACCGTGTTGCTGCCCCGCTCGATCCCGAGTTCTCCTGGGATAAGCTGGGTGAAGCCATCGCAGGCAGCCTGCAGAGGTTGGTCGAGGACCCAGCAATGGGTGTCATCCTGTACACCGTCGCTGGTCTACGCCCCCACCAATGGTCCATGGGCGCCGCCCCAAGGACGCCCGGCAGCCTCGATCGGAAAGCACGGAGCCACCTCGGGTACTGTACCGACGTTGAATTTGGGATTGACGCAAGCAACCTTGTCTACAACCTAACGTGGGCGGCCCTGGGCTGGTTCCTGGGACTGGGCGCCCCATGGGCCAGCTCCCAGCACAAGGTCCCGCTAGACCCACTCCCCCCCTTACCCCGCGCGAAGGGCATTAACCGCCGCCCCAAACCCACCAGTCGGTGCACCCCTGGCGACGTGCTTCCCCAGTACCCCGCGGCCTGGAGTCAAGGGACGGGCAACTGCAAGCGGCATGGGGTGCACCCTGGGATGCAACACTTGCACTCCCTGCTCCGCCCAGGCCAATCCCTCTCAGCACCCAGACACACCCTGCGTAGCAGCAACGGGCTCCCGCTTGACACCCCCTCGCTTAGAGTCCTCCTTGTGGTAATGATGTTGCAACTCCGTGAGCCCCGCGCAACGCTTTGGCCTTTCCCGCGCCCAGAGGCCACAGGGGACATTTTTGAGGCCGCGATGGGCCTCTGCCTCCCCTGGCAAGAAGCCCACGAGGAGTTCCGAGCACAGTTCGCCGCCGCGTGGGGTTTTAGCTTGGGCGCCCTTGCTTCCCTCCACGGAAAGATGGAGGGCGCCATCCGCCACATCAGCACGCTGGCCACCTTCGCCCACCATCGCAAGGCAGCATCCGACCACGGCTGCCCCAAGACGTGGGCAGAGATGCTGAGGTATGGGTTCACCCTCGAAGCCTCCGCGCGCGCATTGGAGGAGATAGTCAAGCCCGCGGACATCAGTCCTCTGAGCCAGGGAGGCTGCTCCATATGCAAGCTACACAGGGAGCTTGCTGGGACAGACGAGGGACCTGGCTGCCCACACACCATGGCAGACGTGCAGTACATCGGAGG